GCCTGGGTGATGGAGTGAGACTCCAACTCAAAAAAAAAAAAAAAATAATGTGTAGGCTCAGCGGCAAGTTTTCCACTGACAGCAATGATGTAGCTTTACACCAAATTGATTTAAGTTAAAAGAGAATGTCTATGTAAAGAGGAATGGTGGTCCATGGTGGCACATGGTGGAATTGGGAAAGTGAATGCATGGTTAATTGAAGTTGTGCAACGTGGGCTTATTGGTAAACAATAGAAATATGCTGACTTGTAGTACTATAGTTTTCATGTTGTTAAACAAAAGCCTCATAGCTCTTGCTAACATGTATGTCTGAATACTGGCTCTTTAAGAATCTTTTATTAGAGAAACTGAAAATTGCTTGGGTCCTCGGTGCCTGGCATCAAAGATAATTAAGCAGAACAACATTCCTTTAATTGGTTGACTCCCACTCAGTTAAAAATACAAGTATTAATATATGTTAGATGCTATTCTTCCGGGAAGGTTTTAGGACTTCCTGGCAGGAGGTGATCCATTTGATCGAAGTGCTGTATATACCTCTCACTAGGTTGGGGTGGTAAACCAAGTGCTGTCTATGCAAATGGCTTTGTAAAATTGTGTCAAGAGTTTGTGAAAATTCTGATTTTACTTCTTATGTGCTACCATCTAATGAGGAGAGTAGACAGCATATTTTATTTTCCCCCTTAGAAGTAGCAAAGGAAAAATCAGGATATTTGAAGATCCTTTGCAATTAATTTTATTTAGAAAATATTTTTAGAAATAAAATACCTGGTGACACATTTTGTGTATCAAATGTAGATTTTATTTTTAGAAAGTACACATTTAACATTTCATAACACATTAAAAAACAAATTTGTACACATCTGTACAAAGTGCAAGAAGTGTGGTGATAGCAGACATTGTAAAGTAGAACACTCCTCTTTCTCCTTGGAACCCTCCTGTGAGCCCTGTCTCTCAGAGACACTGAGGACTGTCAACTGTTGGAGGCCACCTGAGTTTTCAAGTCAAAGGGAACAGCCTTTAGGAACTCGGCAGAGTGGGCATCTTTTCCCCAGACTGAGGCTTCCAAGTGGGTTTGTGTTTTTAAGCAGATTTGGTGGAACTGCTGTGGGCTTTGGGTCAGGTCTGGGTCCGACTTGTAGTTCCATCATAGGTCAACAGTGCGAGTCGGGAAAGTTCCCTACCTTTGTGACCTGAGTCCCCAACAGCAAGGCTTCATAGATGTGGCTTTCCTTCTGAGCTTCCATCTGGCTTAGTTGGTCTACAGTTTCTCTCTCTCTCTCTCTCTCTCTCTCTCTCTCTCTCTCTCTCTCTCTCTCTCTCGTTTTTTCTCCCTGTCTCCCCCCTCCTTCTCTTTCCCTCCTCCTTTCTTTCTTTCCCTCTGTCTCTCTCTCTGCTATTCTCTCCCCCTCCTCTGTCTCTCCCTCTCTCCTCTCTTTCCTTCCTTCTCTCCCTACCTCCTTTTACCCTCCCTTTTCTTTCTCCCTCCCTCCCTCTCTCTCTCCTCTCTTTCCTTCCTTCTCTCCCTTCCTCCTCTTGCCCTCCCTTTTCTTTCTCCCTCCCTCCCTCTCTCTCCCTTCTTCTTTCTTCCCCTCTCTTCTCTTTCTCTCTTTTCCTATCTTTTTCTCTCCTTCTCTGTCTCTCTTCTTCCCTCTCACCCCATAAAGAGAAGGCCTGGCATAGGAATGTAGGCATATTTTCTCCGGGAAAACCAGAATATGGTGTTTTCGGGCCCAGTGTGTGTCCTGCAGTGCACTCTGCACCAGGAGAGCCGTCCCAAGTGCCTACCCTCAGTCTGTGAAAGGTCAAACTGTAAGTGATGCCCAAATCCCTCCTGGAATGTTGATGGCTCCATGGGGTTTCACTTTGCACGTATGAATAATTGAGCACTGGGATAAAAATAAAAACAAAGGCTCTCCTCTCCCAGCGTGAGAACCCAGCCATGTGTGCTAAATCAGGCCAGTGAGACAGCCAGCCCTGGGTCCCCAGACTTCTCTGGGCTGGGGCTCCCTCCTGCAGAGCAACTGCCTCCAAATTAGAGGGAACTCATGAAACTGCCCAAGGAGGGAAGTAGGTCTTTGCTTTTTAAGAGTTGAGGTGTGAGCTCTGATGACCCAGTCCACATGGAAGCTTCTCCAAGCAACTGTCCTTGGTGGCCACCCTCATCCCCTCTAGACACTGCCGTCTCTCTAGAAGTCCTGGTTTTGGAACCAGCTCTGTGTATCACCCACCACCTGGGCACAGTGAAACCTGTTGCCCTGGTTCCTGAAGGTGACCTCCAGCACAGGGGTTGGTTTCCTGGAGTTCTGGAATGGTCTGGGCTGAGCTTGTGGCCAGTCTCCGCCTTTGGCATCAGGCCGGGTGACTGGCCATGCTCTTGCTTGGTTCCCACTGACTCTGCCTTGGTAGGCATGTGCTGGCACACCTCACCCTCCACATGGGGTGGGGCTGTCAATAAAGCTCAAAGTGTTTTTTTTTTTTTTAAATATCTGTTTTCATTTGCCTTCTTCAGGGAATTCAGAATGGAGCTGTTTGATGTTTTTAGTGAGTAAATACATGTAGTGGAATAGCTCAGGGCTCCAGGAAGCTTTTTAGTAGAGAGGAAGACCTTCTTAAGAACTGGGACTTGCCGGGCTCAGTGGCTCAGCCTGTGATCCCGTGCCTTGGGAGGCTGAGGTGAGTGGATTACCTGAGCCCGCGGGTTCGAGACCCGCCTGCGCAACATGGCGAGACCTCATCTCGACAATAAATAAAAAAAAAAAAAATTAGCCGGGTGTGGTAGCACGCGCCTGTAGTTCCAGCTACTTGGAAGGCTGAGGTGGAAGAATCACCGGAGCCCAGCAGATCAAGGCTGCGGTGGCTGGGAGCGGCCACTGCACTCCAGTCTGGGTGACAGAGTGAGACTCCAACTCAAAAAAAAAAAAAAAAAAAAAGAACTGGGACTCTGCCATTCTTGGCGATGAAATGCACAGGGTTTAGTTGCTGGATATGCTAGGGAACACTGCCGTCATTCTAGGCAGAGAGGTTGTTAGGAGTCAAGTTTGGTTCTAAGTGAAGAGGAGAAGGACCAATGCCCTTGGCTCTGAGTGAAGCAATTAAATTGCCCTTGGAATCAAACCAGACTCTCCCTTGTCTTGCCTTGACCTTCACGGTCAGGCCACTGCATGGTTTCCTGCCCTCCTTCCTCCCACTCCCTGCTCCGGCTGCACTGACACCTTCTCTGTCCCCACTCACCAACCCTTGTCCACCTCAAGGACCCTCTCTCTGTCTTTCCCTCAGCTCTTCCCATGGCTCTCCACTGCCTCCGAAGTTCACCCTCAGTGTCACCTGAGACCCCTCCCTGACTTCCACATCTCCAGTACTCCCTCCCTTTCTTCCTTTCACCCTTCCTCCCTCTTTTCTTTCTCTCCTCTTCTCCCTCCTTCCCTCCCTTCCTTCCTCATTCCTGTTGGGATCTCTTTTGCCCAGACTGGAGTGCATTGGCATGATCATGACCCACCTCAGCCTATACTTCCTAGGCTCAGGCAATCCTCCCAACTCAGTCTCCTGAGTGCCCAGCTGATTTTTTGTTTTTTGTAGACACGAGGTCTCGCCATGTTGCCCAGGCTGGTCTTGAACTCCTGGCCTCAAGCTATCCTCCTGTCCCTGCCAAAGTGCTGGGATTACAGGCATGAGCCTCCATGCCCAGCCCTGGTAGCCCCTTTTTGTTGTCCTTTCAGGACCCTATGGGTTTCCTTTCCAGCGCTGATCTCAGACTGTATTTATTTTTCTTGCTTATTGTCTCTGCCTCACAAGAATGTAAATTCTTCAGAGGGAGGTACTAGTACTTGATGCAGTGCCCGGCATACCCTCCATAGTCGATACTTGATTAAATGGAAGTTTTTCACCTTTTTTTTTTTTTTTTTGAGTTGGAGTCTCACTCTGTTGTCCAGATTGGAGTGCAGTGGCACGTTCCCGGCCACTGCAGCCTCAACTTGCTGGACTCTGGCGATCCTTCCGCCTTAACCTTCCAAGGAGCTGAAACTACAGGCATGTGCTACCACACCTGGCTAATTTTTGATTTATTGTAGAGATGAGGTCTCGCCAAGTTGCCCAGGTGGGTCTCGAACCCTTGGGCTCAGGCAATCCACTCACCTCGGCCACCCAAAGTGCTGGGATTGCAGACTGAGCCACTGAGCCCAGCCTGTTCACCGGTTTTAAGAGGGCCTTTTTGTTTGTGTCTCTGTTTAAGATTGGTCATGCTGGGCCAAGCCACTGAACTTCCCAGGGCTCTTAACTGCACACATTGTCATCCATTTCATTGTTTTTTATTGCGCAGATAGAGATCAGCATTGTCCTTCCTCAGAATCCACCAGGGACTCAACGGACACCCCTGGGCATTGTGCTCCCTGTGAGGTGCCTTTCAAAGTTCACCTGGCACTGAAATAACTCGGCACTGAAATAACTCGGCAGTTCTCCTGTGAGGGAAGGCGACCTGTGTTGGTCTTTGGTGAACATGCAGTGTCATAATGGGGAGACAGTTGTCCTGGCCACTGTGTCTACTCTAAGCAGCCTGGTGGCCTCCTTAGGGACCTGCCCTCTGTCTCTAAGCTCTTACCCATCCTCAGGCCAAAGGCTGCCAGTCAGCTTCATGCTGAAAAGGAAAGTGGGGCAGACTAGTCACTGTCTAAAGACCAACATTGTCACCATGACAGTTTTTAGAGTTGTAAGAGGTGAAATGCAAATGTGGTGAGTAATTAAATGGTTTTATGTCATTCTTTGGTGTTCTAAATGTTGCTGTTTATCTGTCTTAGGTAATCTATTTAAAGAAGACACCAGAAGAAGCCTACAGAACACTCCTATCTGGCTCAACCCCCCCCTATCTTCCATTCAGGTATAACTGCTTGTGAGACTTGGGTTAGACTTTGCTAGAGTGCTTGACTCTTTGGGTTATGGCGGGGTTCCCCTCCCAATATATTTATTTATTTGTTTAATTTTTTGGGTAGAGATAGAGTCTTGCTATGTTGACCAGGCCGATCTCAGACTCCTATCCTCAAGTGATCCTCTTGCCTCAGCCTCCCAAAGTGCTGGGATTACTGTGAGCCATGGTGCCTGACCATGGTGTTTTAGAAATTTTCTTAAGATGAAAACCATGATGTCCTATGAAATGAAATGAAATGGTAGTTTTATTATTTCATGTTGAGGAGTTATTTTGTCCACAAGCCAATAAGAATAAAATAGCTTTCTACTTTTAAGAATTTATTTGTTTTGCAGAATTCTTTCTGTATCTTGAGAGTTTACTTGAATTGCAAAGAACTCCTGGTTTATGAGCTAATAACCATGGCCAGATTTGATAGTTTTCAAGAATCTACATCACTGACTCCTTCCTGAATTCCTTCATTTCATGAGCATGATTGACCTCATGTTGTGGGCTGGGAACATTGAATAAGACCCTGTAAGGATCTTTCAGGAGTCATGGCTAGTGGAGACCCTAAGCCTCTGTTCTGACACAGATCTGGCCGACATCCCAAGAAAGCCTTTCTCTCCTTGGGTGTTGGAAATAATGTTCTGGAAGTATCTCATAAAGAAGATCTGCTAAAAACTGGGATAAACTTGTTTAAAACCTAGACGAGAACATACATCAAGACTTCATATTGCTTGGCAGACAGACTTCAGAATAATTCCTATACTTTTCGCCTCTTTTGCTTATTGTGTGTCCAAATCCTTGAGCATGTGAGTGGTTACTGCTAGCATATTTAACAGTGGTGAGAGAAAGGGAGGGGAAGGACCAGGAGACCTTGGCTCCTGTCTTCAGGGTGGCCTGCGCCTTGCAGCTTACTGTGCTTTTGGTAACTGTTGGAATGAATGAACTAAGACTAATGCCCTTGAGGTGAGGGCATTCCATCTGTTTCTGGGGTCCCCTGGAGACTGTTGTGCTGGGTGAGCTTGTGTGTGGGGGGGAGTAGTCCCCACTGTGTTTCATGCAGTGAAACTGAAAGTAAGATGTTGGGACCCCCAAGGAGCATGTCCCCAGCACCTGGGGCATGACTGATGAGTCACCAAAGGGCAGATGGATGCAACAGAGCTCGTAGGGGAGAGTTTCCGTGGTGCAGGTAAAGCTTCCTTTTTCTCCATAGCTTGGACATCTTTTGTAAAGTATAATTCTATTTTTTCCAAAAAGGGTAATAATGAGTTCTAAGCACAGTGGTTAAGACTGTGTGCTCCAGAGGGGGAGACACTTTGAGCAGTTTGAGGCTTCCTCCTGCTTCTTGCTATCTAGTAAATAAGTGACTTGGGCACATCACCTGTGTTCGCTGAGCCTGTTTCATTATCTGTAAAATGGCTTCATATCTGCACTGAGCATCCAGTGAGCTAACGCACTGATCTCTCTGCCTGGTGAAATACCTAGTTTTTTTTTTTTTCTCACTGTTGTCAGCACTGTTACTATTATTAATAAGAAAGAAGGACTGCCCACAAAGGATGTAAGTGTGAATAGGGGATACTATTTCTTCTAATGGCCTCACACTCTAGTAGGGGCAGGCAGATCTGTAGGCTGTAATCAACTGTAAAAATGTCAGGTTGTATGCAAATAGAAATAGAGATTAATTCTGACAAAGATTTGAAGTATTAAACTCATTTAAACTGAGCTTTTGAAGGTGGGGAAGGATCTGGCAGATAGAGAAAGGAGGTGGAAAAGGTAGGTACAAGGGTGCCCTGTGGAAAGGCCTGGAAGTGTGTTATGTCTGAGACACTTCAGAAAGTCTCCATGGCAGGAGGACAGAGAAGAGGCAGGAGGGCAGAGAAGGGATTGCCCATGCCCTTTTTCTGCAGACAGTGAGGGCTCATTTGTTTTTATTTTTGAGTTGGAGTCTCACTCTGTCACCCAGGCTGGAGTGCAATGGCATGATCATGGCTCACCGCATCCTTGATAGGCGAGTCTTCCTAGTAGCTGGAACTACAGGCATGTACCACCACACCTGACTGGTTTTTTTCTACTTATTGTAGAGACGAGGTCTTGCCAAGTTGCCCAGGCTAGTGTCAAACCCCTGGACTCAGGCAGTCCTCTTGCCTCTGCCTTCCAAAGTGCTGGGATTGCAGGCGTGAACCACTGTGCCCTAAGATTGTTTTGTTTTTTTTTTTTGAGTTGGAGTCCCACTCTGTCTGCCAGACTGGAGCGCAGTGGCCGCTCTCGACCACCGCAGCCTCGACCCGCTGGGCTCCGGCGATCCTTACGCCTCAGCCTTCTGAATAGCCGGAATTACAGGCGCGCGCTACCACGCCCAGCTCATTTTTGATTTATTGTAGAGATGAGGTCTCGCCTGCCCAGGCGTGTCTCGAACCTGCGGGCTCAGGCAATCCACTCACCTCAGCCTCCTGGAGGCGCCGGATTACAGGCTGAGCCGCCAAACCTGGCTAGATTGTTTTTTTTTTTGAGTTGGAGTCTCACTCTGTCACCCAGACTGGAGTGCAGTGGCCGCTCCTGGCCACCGCATCCTCGACTTGCTGGGCTCCGGCATTGTTTTTTAAACCAGCAAAGGGTCTGCAGTTTTCTTTGTTATTTTGAAAATACACATGCACGTGGAAATTGTAATATTGTAACATTTGTAAAATTGTAATGCTAGTTAATAGACCCAGTGGATAATGTAACTATTTAAATGATCTTAAAGTGAAATATATATTTAACTTTCATGCTTGTGATGTCCGATCAGAAGTTAAAGGACATGCATTTCAGTTTCCTTAGCCACATGAACCTGCTGTAGTTGTCAATTTAGATGGATACATTGAAGGTGGAGGGAATACATTTTTACCTTAGACAGAATTATATTGTAGCCCTTTTGTGCTAGGTAATTAGTTTCCTGAGAACTAGAACTTCTAAATAATTAATAGGACCTGAATGGAAGAAAAGATAGTAAGAATTCTACTTAATACAGAATTGTATCATAATGATCCCAATTGTAGCATATTTTTCCAAATTTTTTTCACCCAAATGTTATTTCAGTGTTTGAAAATATACATTTATTAATATAATTCAGAAGTTTAAAAATATACAGAGGGTGCCTAAAACTGTATATACATTTTAAGAAAGAAAAAACTATATTAAAATTGTAACAATATATACTGATAATAAAAGATGAATGCAAGTCACGTTTGACTTCGGCTTTTATAAGAGGTGCTCAGAGTGGTTGCCATCAGCAACCAGACTCTTCTGATTATGGCAAACTAAAAGTAATACAGAGATAACGTCGCTTCAAATGTTTATTTATTTATTTTTGACATCCCTGGTATAGGAAAGGATGAAAGTTCTCCCTCTCACTCTTGACCCTCATCTGTCTAGTCCTTTCTAGACAACTTCTGGTACTGGCTGCTTCTATATCCCTCTAGAATTTGTTTGTGCACATGTAAGCAAATAAAAGACATGTGTTGTTACTTTTCAATGTTTTATCACAAAGTGTAGCATTGCTGCATATGCTGTTGTGCCTCTTGGTTTTTTTCGTTTAACTCCCCATGGATCTCTTTCTGAATCTGCACACAAGGAGTTTCCTGCCTTGTTCTGTCTAATTGCTGTATAATGTGCAAGAATGCATCGAACATACAGGGGATCACATAGGTCATTTCTCCTATCGTCTGAATTATAATTTTTAAATTCTCATCATCTCAATTGTATTTTTTTTTTTTTGAGTTGGAGTCTCACTTTGTCACCTAGACTGGAGTGCGGTGGCCGGGCGCGGCCACCGTTTCCTCGACCTGCTGGGCTCTGGCGATCCTTCCACCTCAGCCTTCCAAGTAGCTGGAACTACAGGCATGCGCTACCGCACCCGGTTCATTTTGATTTATTGCCCATGAGGTCTTGCCAAGTTGCCCAGGCTGGTCTCGAACCTGCAGGCTCAGGCAATCCACTCACCTAAGCCTCCCAAGGCGCGGGATTACAGGCTGAGCCACCGAACCTGGCTCTCAAGTGTATTTTAAGACACTGAAGAAATACTCTGGAGAATATGATAGCAATGTTGTTGGACAGATAAAGAGATTTTAGTAATCCATTTTATCCAAAGGTAGTCACTACATGAAGAAACAATGCATAACCTAGATATGAGGCATTTGTTCCTCCTTGGAGGTACCTACGTCCCATGAAAAGTTTGACCTTGAATGTTACTCGAAGTTGTATCTTCCTAGTAACTCAGGATGCCACGAGTTGTGTTACCATTAAGCTTCATTTGTTAATCTAGACTCTTCATAAACCATACATGTGAAGCAGAAATACCACAAAGTAGCCATTTGTAATTCAGTGAAGCATTAGTTGGATGCATACTACTAGTTTTCTGGAAACTTTCCTTTTTTTCCTATGCTTAGGTAAGATGTGAGTTGTTGTTCTCTGCAGCCCAGGCTGACTAGGATGAATAGAATATTATCAGGAACCATTTTCCTGCTAATTTTGGACAACTTTCGCTGTAAGCTGTAGTAGTCTATCACTCGCCAGGCTTTTAAATCCCGTTTCTTACTAAATTATGCTTTCATCATCATTGTCTCAATTTTTTCCAACCACGGCTTTATGAACACTCTTAGTTAAAATTGGCAAGCCTTACAGGAACTTTCATTTTAAGCGTAATTGTTTTATTTAAAAACATTTTTACAAAATGGAGATGACCTTGAAGGCGTGTGGAAGGTATGATTGGTGTGTCCATGTGTACTCCTTACTGTGTTCTCATGTATGTGAGACTTTAGTGTCTTTCTAATAAAGGAGTTTTATTTATCTGTGGCTTCTGTGAGTTTAAATAACACTGTTCTTCAAGGCATATTCATTTAGCAAACGTTGACCTGAGCAGTCACCTCTGTAAAGCCGTTCCTTGTTTTTCTAGGGAGGCTTGACAGGTCCTTTACCTGTAATTCCCTATTACA